TCCCTGCTGTCGCCACGGCTCCAGGGGCGGCGGCGCTGGTCTCCGGTCCTCACAGAGCGGGGCCCCGGCTTCCCGGGAGGGGTGTGGGGGGGCGGGGGAGGCTGGCCGGGGCTGGGCTATTCTTCAGCCATCAGGAAAGTTTACATCTCGCAGGATAAATGATCTGGCATTTCCCGCTGTGTTTACAGCCAGGGGACCGGCCTGCTGGACAGGTCAGGGCAGCAGCAGGATTGATGGGGACGCAGCGTGACTGGAGCGGCCCCGGGAGGACTGTTTGTCTTTCTCCATGGGATCCAGACGCCTCTGTGGGGAAAGGCAAGGCAGCCGGGCCAAAGGGCAGGGGCCGCGGAACAGAGTGCGCCGTTCCAAGGTGCTGCTGCCTGCAGCGGGCGTCGCATCCGGAGCGCAGCCCACGGCTCCCTGGGTCGGAACACGTACGCCAACACGCCTGCAACGTCTGACCAGCCAGCTGGGGTTGATGACAGATGACTATTTTAGCTATTTATTTTTAAAATTTGTATGCCATTCATCTAAGCCTCTTACAATATATTAGAATCACAGGATTTAAAAATCCAAATACATAATAAAATAAGCATGTCCATTAATACACACAGGGAAGTAAACAGCTAAACCAGCAGGCAAAGGAGTTAAACGTCTTTACGCAGCATATACATTTCCAATTAACATATACCAAAAAGCCTCAGAATAGTCGTGCCTTTGCCCAATGCCAAAAAGAAATTTCAAGCGTTTCTTTGCAAGTCAGGTGCTGGCAGAAATAAAACGGGTGACAGCGCAGCTCTTGCGTGACGGGAGAGAGAGAACTTGCTTGCGGAAGGGCTTGCCGTTCTCTCCTCTTGGGCTGTTTAGTCTGCAGCCTTGGGATCTCCTAGTGGCCTTCCATCTCAGTAGGAGGCCCAACTTTGCTGGGTTTTTTCCCAAGGACAGCCCAGGCCCACATGTTAAAAGGTGAAAACAAACCCAAAGGAATCGAGCTCAGCGCAAGCGAGGGAAGAGAAGGAAGCTGGGCTGTGGGGTGGCAGGAGAGGCGAGAACCCACGCCCCTGCCTTCCCTGGAGTGGCTTTTGTTCTGTAGAAAAAATGCTCCTGGCAGAGACCCAGCCTGCCCCTGCAAAGGGTCGGGGGGCTCTTGTGCCCTCTCCTCGCTGGGTGCTGGGTGAGGCAGTTCCTGGTGCTGGCAAGCTAGGCCGAGTTGGGCAAGTGAGCTCAGGCCCCAGGCAAGCCCACGCTTTCAGGAATGGGTTGGGGTGGCCCGGTGCCCAGCATGGTGTCCCCGTATCTGTCCTCCTGAGGCCCAGAGGGAACCAGACCAGCCCACCGAGCCAGCCAAGGAAGGCGGCTGTGGGTCCTGCCCCCCAGCACGGTGGGAAGAAGTGGGGAGCTCCTGCGCTAGTTTGGGATGGAGGGGGGTGGAAGACAGGTGGGAAGGCCATGGCAGCTTTGTGTGTGTATGTGTTCATATGGGCGTGGAAGGGGTGGGTGTGACTGATGGTCTCTCTCTCACACCTCACTTCAGAAACCCTCACAGGTAGGAAGTAAGGATGGAGGAGAGAAAGTGGGGGGGGGGGGATGTCACAGAAACCAAAACATGGAAAGGCAAGACTCTTAGAGGAGCCGTTGTGGGCCTGGGGATCCCTGAACTTCAGAAACCCTCACAGGTAGGAAGTAAGGATGGAGGAGAGAAAGTGGGGGGGGGGGGATGTCACAGAAACCAAAACATGGAAAGGCAAGACTCTTAGAGGAGCCGTTGTGGGCCTGGGGATCCCTGAATCCAACCTGGCAAAGGGTTCTTCGCCCGCTACTCGGCCGGGTGAACGAGCTGACCCCAGGCAATGAGGCCAAGAGTCAGCCCCTCCTGCCCGTCGCTCGCTCGTGTGTATCCCGCACACTCAGAGCCCCGCAGATCTCTAGGAGGGGGGCACCCGCGCCCTCTTGTTTATACAGGGCAAGCAGCAGCAGGGGGCATCCGAACTCCCGCCTGCCGGCCGCCTGCAACCTCTTCACCCTGACTCGATGCAGTTCCGAGCCTACCCGCATCCCAAATATTAAATCAGGAATCCGTTTCTTTCTTTGCATCTTTCCTCCTGAGCCACCACTTGCCTCAGCCTGCTTCACGTCCGCCTCCGGCGCCTGTCGGGAAAGTGCACAACGCCCCTACTTTGTGCAAGAACTCAGAGGTTCCCCACATTGTCCAGGCCCTAGGCAGCTAACACGGTAGAGAGGACCGCGGGATTTCAGATCCACACTGTTGCCTGGAGCTGGACAACGGCAGGGCTC